GCGAGCGCCCCGGCCGGCCGGACCCCGGCTCCGCCCCCGGTCCCGCGCCAAGCCGGCTGAGGCCATGGACGCGCTGGCCTGGCTGCTTCCCCCGCTCCTGCTGCTCTGCGCGCAGCAGCACCACGGCACCAGGTGAGCGAGGCGGAGGTCCGCGCTGCGCCGGGGGTCGCCCTGGATGGGATCCCCGCGCCGGCCGAGACCGAGCTGCAGGGATAGAGCCCGGCGTGGATCCCCGGTCTTCGTCCCCCCGCGTCTCCCCTCGTGTCTCCCCCACCTCCCCCCAGGGCTTGCCCCACTCGGTCTCCCGCGGGCCCTCCTCTCCCGCCGCCCGGCCACCCGGGTGCTGTCCGCCGTCCCGGTGCTGAACCGGCGCCGAGGGCGGGACGAGGGCGTCGGGGCCGCTCCCGAGTCTCCCCGGTGCCGGGGCTCGCGTGGTGAGCTCCGATTTCTCGGCCGCAGCCGGCACTTGGCTGATCCCTGGCTGGCTGGTGCCCTTCCAGGCGCGGGCTGGGCGCTCAGCACGGCACAAGCTGCAGGCAGGCAGGAAGGAGTGGGCCTGAGAACACGGGGAGGAGGCTGCTCCCTTTCCCGGAGGAGCAGAGCTACACCGCACCCCTTTCTCAAGGGGTCTCCCTCATCCTGAACACCGAGCCTGGCCACCTTCCATGGGAGTTGTGAGGGACCCTTTTGAAAATCAACTCAGTGCAAGGGCTGCAGAAAAACAAGAGCAAAAACGGCCCCCCAGCGTTCTGGACTTCTCGGTCCACGAACTGAGGTGGAGACTTTAGAAACCGGAAAGGGAGGAACATCAGCCTGCATTTCGGCTGTAGGCACTCAGGCAGCGTGCAACACGGAGCAGTGTGTGTGTGTGTGGTCAGGGTTTCCTTGTGGGCAGGGTGAGGGCAGAGCAGGAAGGCCTGGGTCCGGCCGTAGACATGGCCATCACACCCGAGGTCGCAGGCAGTGCGGAGATGGCCCCTTCCTCGGGAGGGTTTTGCTCTCTTATGGAGCCCCATGGCCTCTGTCCTTTCTCCTCTTCCTACTTCGAGGTACCAGGAAGGGCAGAGCACTGTGGCTTGGCCGTGGACATGTGTGCAGGAGGCCCGGGATCAGCTGCTGGCCCAGGCCCACAGCCACGTTGCTGAGATTCTGAAATCCAAGCCGCTCTGAACCCCAAAGTCTTAGCTCAAGTTTGACACCAAAACTCATTTGGCAGCAAAGCCTGTCCTGCTCTGACATGAGGCTTGTTTTGCATTTATTCATCCTACTTTTGGGGCGTATTTATACATTTCCTGCTGGGAAATTCTCCAGACCCCCCTCCAAGTCCATATGTGCACCATAGCACCTTTCTAAAATCTGAAACCTTCTGAACTCCAACCCCATCTGGCTCAGGGTGTTGAGTGAGGGATGTGCCTGTTTGCCTGTTCGGGAAGGCCGGAAGGCCCCGGCCCCGGCCGAGAGGAGTGCCTCTGGGCTTTGTGAGTCAGACAGCACAGTGCTGTCCATTCGGGGCCTCTTCCATTAGCTTCTGTCCCTCCACTCCAGAAACCAGGAGGACAGCATCCTCACTTCCCTCAGTCTCATCCCTGTACGGGTGTGGGAGGACAGTGGGACTAACAGGAGGTACCTGTTCTGGCTGCCGCTGCTCAGTCCAGATCCCATGATCTTGGTGGGAAAGGCTCGGCGGGGTAAGAAGGGAGTGCGCCGTGCAGCATTTGTGGGTTGGGTCAAAGCCATGCATTCTCTGAGTCTGAGGATCTGCTCACACAGCAGGAACCCGAGCTTGCCAGCTGCACACCCGAGTGGGAGGCCCTCCCCGGGCTGCTGGCACCTTCATCTCCCTGGAGAAGCTGTGCCCGCAGCTCCTGCCTCGCCAGCTCACCGTGCGATCGTCGCAGTGTTCCTCTTTGCCTTGGTAACTGAGGTGCCAGCGTGGCTGGTGTTGCTCTAAGAGCAGAGCTGTCAGGGATCCGTGGGCCTGTGTGTGCACGGTGGAAGGATCCTTGGAGGGGGGAGTACCCCACTGCCTCGCTCAGCTACACCCACCTTCCCTTTCTGTCTCCAGGGGCACAGACAGTGACAGGGGTGGGCTCGTTTCTCAGTGGGGCCAAGAGAGCCAGGGAGACCCGATGACACCCAAAAGCAGCCCCCGGCGGAAGCTGCCAGTGTTTTCATGGTGCTTGCTTCGCCTCAGGAGTTTGAGCTTCTGTTTTGTTTGCTCTGAGGAACCCCAAGCCTAGGCCACCGCTGGGTTCCAAGGCTGTCAGATGAGTCAGAAGGTCTCTCCCAAGATGCGGGTCAGTCACCACATTCTTACCACATGCTGAGCTCCCCCCACGTGGAGAGTGTACCCCACCCATCCCGTTAACTCTGCCTGAACTGTAGGAGGAGAGTAGGGCCCTCCTGAACCCAGACTGGCATGTAGCACACCCTCCCTGGCCCTCTGGCCCTCCACATCTCTTCACAGCTGGAAAAATGACGGCACCTGTCCCAGGTGAGAGGTGACGGGGCCGGGGTGGGGGAGGGGAGTCTGTTCCCTTCTCACCCCCCAGCGATGACAAAGGCTAAGAATCTGTGGGCCCCCTCCCACTTCAAGGCGAGCTTCACAGCAGGGGGCTTCCCCAGGGCTCTGCCTGCACGCCCCTGAGTGGGTGTGGGACCAGGGTGGAGGGACGCTGTGCCAGCCTGTGCCACCACTCAGAGGCCCGGGAAGGACGATGTCTCCTGACGGCCTCGTTCCAGACAGGCCAGCCACTGCAGCAAGACGGCAGCTGGGCCAGTCCAAGAATAAAGCCTAATTCGAATCCGTCTACACCTGACCTTCAGGGTGACCTCTATTTGCATTTTTAATTGTGCTTTACTTGGGGCCAGGACTTAATTTAATTCCTTCTTATACATTGTTACCAAAGTGCCTTCCCTGTCCCCACCCTGGACCAGGCCGAGCCTGGAGGGACCGAGGTGGTCCTGCAGGTTAGATCAGGTTTGCAGGTTTTGTTAGCTGCGAACTCCTGGTTCAAACTCAACCCTCTTCAAAAGTGTAGGAAACGTTCAAGGGGCCTGGGCCCCTCCCTTGCTGCTGCTTCCCAAACCCAGGCAGCCCTCGAGGGCTTCTGGAACCCACCTGACGGGACAGTGTAAGGGGCAGGTGTCCAGGCCCCACAAACTCAGCCGCAGAGCTCGTTCCCAACCCCTCCCACCACTGCCGCTCCAGCCAGAAACCCGAGGTCCCAGGGTGTCCCCCATCTGGGCCAGGCCCCTTCCTATCTCAGGTGTGTTCGCCACTCCCCACTGTTCCATCTGGTCCAGCCCAGCATCACCCCAACCCCTGCAACGGCCCCCCAGATCATTCACTCGCTTCTTCCATAACACGTCCCGTTCGTTCACCAGAGTCATGTTCTAGGAGTCTAATGCGGCTCCTTGTTCAGGGCCCGCATCTATTCCTCAACCTGGAGGAGTTCTGACGTCCACCCCTCTCCACTCTTTGCCACGACACCTCCCGCACCCCTCCAGGCCCCACCACCAAACCCACCTCTTGCCTCTCCCCTGATCCTCACGTTCTCTGCCTTTGGGCTCTGACATCACTTTCTCAGGGAGGCTGTCCCTTCCCCCCCTCACCCCCAGCCAGAGGGGCTCCTGACCTCCCCTTTCTGTAGCTCTCATCACACTTAAAGCCACTTGCTTTGTCACCCCTCACAGACTGTGACCTCCACATGGACCTGGGCCGTGACTGTCCTGGTCATGGTGTCCTGACCCCAGAGGGGGCCTGGGGCTGCATCTCAAGGCAGGACTAGGAGAGAGGATGGAGGGTTCAGTGGGGGTGGGGGGAATCAGCATGAGAAAATGGGAGTTCAGATGGTGGAGGATCTGGAGGGTTAAGCAAGCATCTAAGAGAGGAGACACTGGAGAGGGCGGGAGTCAGGGACTAACTGCCACAGGCCTGGGGATAGGTGAGGGGCTTGCTGAGGAGGAGTTGGGGGTGCTGGAAGGGGAAGAGTGAGGCTCAGAGGAAGCATTGCCTGGCTCTGGAGGAACAGGGGGCCAAAGGGGGCCAGAGCTGGAGAGACAGGGGGCATGGGCTGCAGTGGGCCCATAGGGGTGCTGGTGAAGGGGCTGGACAGGACCTCGACTTGGCTGTACCGACGGGCACCGCGCAAGCAGGAGCCATGTACCAGAATGCAGTTGAACGGGAGACAGTTCCTGAGGGTGCAGGAGGCCAAGGGGATCCTGAGGCATGGCTGCAACCGCTGGGAGGGGACAGTGGCCAGCAGTGTGATGGGACCCTCGAGGGGACGGCAGTCCCCTCAAGGTGGCCAGAAGGGCCCAGAGTGGGGCACCTGGGCACATGGCCACGGCTGGCTTTGGGGATCTGTCTCCAGGGAGAGTGAGCCATGGCCTCAGGGTCCCAGCAGCCCCTGCATCCAGGCCCTGGCCCCCAGCTCTCCCCCATGGGCTCTGGCCAGGCTCGGGGCCCAAGGTGACCTGGAGGCCTTGTCCTGAGTTGCTTCTCTGCCCGCTGGGAATAGAAGTGATTCAAAGAATAACAAGAGGGTTATCCTTGAATGCCCTCCTCATTCCCTGCTGTCAGATTTAGGAGAAATGCCCCTCCCCCACTGGAGGCTGGGGGAAGGAGGGTTCTGAGTTTCCTGGGGCTCCTGCAACAAGTGACCACAAACTGGGGGGCTTAAAACTACAGACAGTAATTTTCTCATAATTCTGGAGGCCAGAAGCCTGAAGTTAAGGTGTGGGCAGGGCCGGTTCCCTCTGGAGGCTCTGGGGGAGAATCCGTTCCGGGCCGTTCTCAGCTTCTGGTGCGGCTGGAGTCCTTGGCGTTCGTGGGCTTGTAGACATTTCACTCCAGTCTCTGCCTCTCTTGCCACATGGCCTTCTCCCTCTGTGTCTTCTGTGTTTTTTCTTCTTATAAGGACATCAGTCGTTGGATTTAGGGCCCACTCTAATCCAGCATGACCCTGTCTTAACTAGTTACAGCTGCAAGAGCCCTATTTCCAAATAAGGTCCCATTCTGAGGTTCCGGGTAGACATGAATTCTGGGGGGACACTGTTTATCCCGGGACAGGTGAGCAGAAGGAGGTGGGCAGGTGAAGATGCTGGGAAGCCCAGCGTTTCTGGCATGTGGGGGCCACAGGGTGCCTGCCACCTGGGACACCCCCTGTGGCCCTGCCAGGGACGAACACCAGCACAGGCTGTCAGTGGGACTGGCCCCAGCTGCTCTGGGGTCAGGCTAAGCCCAGAAGCACATGGCAATTTGGCGATCTCTGGGGCCTGCCTGGGAAGGGACCGAGAGCAGGAGGCCGACTCGCAGCCTCCCCAGGGGCCCTCATCCTGGCCCTGGGTCCCGGTTTGGGACCTTACCCGATTCCCCCCCCAACCCTGCCCTCAACCTCCTGGTCACACGTCTTTTCTCCCGAGTCACCTCCTGCAGGACACCTCACCCTCTGAGGCTGAAAGGGAGACCAGGTGCCCTTGCTGAGGTCCTCCCAGGCCTATTTGATAAGGTACCCCAGGGGTGGGATGCTGGGGCAGGCCGCCCTCCAGGGGCTAGCTGTGGAGGAAGCCTGGGGGCTCGGCCCGTGCTGGGGACTCTGCCTCACCTGGGCAGCCTCCCTCGAGCCTTGGGGGGCAGGACGAAAGCTGAGCGGAGAGGCTGGTGGAAGAGGCAGAGGGGTCCCAGGCCCTGCACCTCCCAGGGCTCCCTGTTTCCCGTGTGAGTTGCTGGGACTGGCCAGGTCCAGCCTGGAGGGGCCCTTGCAGTGGTCCTCCCTGTCCACCCCGGGCGTGGGTGCCCAGGACAGAGCTCCATCCCCAGGCTCCGTCCCTGGCATCCTGCCTGTGACCACTGGGCCTGCGTTTCCAGAGCAATGAATGACATTGGGGACTACGTTGGCTCCAACCTGGAGATATCCTGGCTCCCCAACCTGGACGGTCTGATGGAGGGCTATGCCCGCAACTTCCGGCCTGGCATCGGAGGTGAGAGCGGCCGTCGGGGGCAGGGGCAGACCCCTGGATCCAGCTGTGGGTGTGAGCCCTGCTGGGCTCTGGGCGGGCTCCCCGAGGGGTGCGTCAGACCTCGAGCGCTCGCCCCCAGAGAGACAGCTAGGATGGTGGATCTTCTCAGGCCTCGTTGCAGACTTGCACCAAGACGGTCCTCCCTGCAAACCCCTGGCTGTCCTCCGCCTCCTGCCTGGCCTGGCTGAGTGGCCAGGGGTGCTGGGGCCTGGCCTCACTCGGCCCCACCGGACTCGGGTCCTGCTCTTTCCTCGTAGGCCCCCCTGTGAACGTGGCACTCGCCATCGAGGTGGCCAGCATTGACCACATCTCAGAGGTGAACATGGTAGGTGCCAGCCAGCCTCCATATCACCTCCCGGCCATGCACCCCAGGAGAGGGGCAGGCTGACGGCCAGGGCCCCTCCACCTCCCTCCGCAGGAGTACACCATGACGGTGTTTCTACACCAGAGCTGGCGGGACAGCAGGCTGTCCTACAACCACACCAACGAGACCCTGGGCCTGGACAGCCGCTTCGTCGACAAGCTCTGGCTCCCAGACACCTTCATCGTGAACGCCAAGTCTGCCTGGTTCCACGACGTGACTGTGGAGAACAAGCTCATCCGGCTGCAGCCCGATGGGGTGATCCTGTACAGCATCCGGTGAGCCCCGGCCCTGCGTGCCCGCCCCCGAGAAAACCCAGGATGCTCCGCTGAGAGCTGGGTGGAGTGTTTCTATCCTCCTGAAACCGCAGCTGCTCGTGAAATGTCAACTAGTTTTTTGGCCAACATGGTGCCTTTTGTTTTTTAAATTGGGGTGAAATTCACATAGCAGAAAATTAACCATTTTAAAGTGAACAATTCAGTGGCATTTAGCACCTTCTCAATGTTGTGCAAACATTACCTCTATCTAGTTCCGGGACATTTTCATCCCCCCAAAAGGAGACCCCATGCCCATTAAGTGGCCACTCCCCATTCCCTCCTCCCCAGCCCCTGAAGCCACCAATTTGCTTTCTGTCTCTATGGATTTGCCTATTCTGCACATTTCATATAAAATGAATCCTACACTGTGTGGTCTTTTGGGTCTGCCATCTTTCACTTGGCATAGTGTTTGTGAGCTTCATCCATGTTGTAACATTCATTAGGGTTTCATTTCTTTCTATGGCTGGGTAACCCTCCATTGCATGGATAGCCCAGTTTGTCTATCCACTCGTCCATCCATGGACACTTGGGCTGTTTCTACCTTTTGGCTATTGTGAGTCATGCCTCTATGAACATACATGTACATGTATTTGCTTGAACACGTGTTTTCTGACAAGTGCCTTGTAAAAATGGAATTAATTGCCAATATTTTAAACATCAGGAGATTTATATAAGAATCTAAATTCTCTTGGAAAATCAGAACACTTGGCAACCCAGGCCTTTTCCCGCACTGCATGGTCAGCGGGAATGACTGGAAGCTGTCCCTAGGGGCAGGCCGGTATGCTCAGGCTGGACCTGCCTTCCAGGCCCGCAACTAAGCCAAACAGTCAGGATTTTGAAGGATGAAGAAAGTGAATGAAATCTAGTTCTTGATTCCTGAAGAAACACCCACAAATATCCATAAAGTGACGAGTTTTCAGTTTCCCTCCAGATACCTGCACCTTGCCAACAAAGCCCGAGAGGCCCCGGGGCTGGCACAGGGCCATCCCCACTTGTTGGGGACAAAGGATCTGCTGGATTCCGGGAGGGTGGGCTCCCCCCTGGGGATCTCACCAGCGTGTTGTCTGGGCAGAATCACCTCCACGGTGGCCTGTGACATGGACCTGGCCAAGTACCCCATGGACGAGCAGGAGTGCATGCTGCACCTGGAGAGCTGTGAGTGCTGCCCCGGCCCCGGAGGGATGGGGCCTCTGCTCCGGGCAGGCCACGCCAGCTTCTCCAGTGGCTTTGGTGTGGGAGGGCGGGAGACTCAGACCGTGCAGGCCTACGCAGCCAGCCTGGCTCGGGGGCAGGAAGGCGCCTGGGACGGGGCATCCACGGAGGGAGAAACCTGGGCAGGAAGAGAAGAGACCAGAAGGCCTGAGCAGCCTAGCCCCCCTCCCACGGGTGAGTGCCCTGCCTGGGTCAGCCAGGCCTCAGAGTCCAGACGAGGCATGTATCTGCGTCACTGGGCCAGCCTGGCAGCCCCTGCAGGTCACTTGGCAATGGTGACTGCACTTTTGCCAGCACTTCTGGCCCTGACCACCTGCCTGAAGTGCCGGCCGTGGCCCCAGGCCTCCTTGCTCCTGTCTGGGTCTTCCTGCACCATCTCCTCTCTCTGCTGAGTCAGGTTCCCCGTGTGGGCAGGGCACTCCTGCTGGGGTCTGCCAGGGGCTGGGGGGGGGGGGCCGGGCTCTGCTGCCCATCTGTGGGCTCTCCTGCAGACGGCTACTCGTCCGAGGATATCACCTACTACTGGTCTGAAAACCAGGAGCAGATCCACGGGCTGGACAAGCTACAGCTGGCCCAGTTCACCATCACCAGCTACCGCTTCACCACAGAGCTGATGAACTTCAAATCGGGTAATGCGGGCTCTTGTGGCCTCTTCCTGTGAGCCTGGCTTGTGGGTTTCTAGAGCTTTTAACTGAGCCACTAGCAGGCTCTGAGGGCCCCGATGCTGCTGCTGGAAAACCGCTGATGGGCACAGGCTGGGCCCGACCAAGGGACTCGGTATATGCCATGGTGCAGACATGGGTCAGGTTTTCTTCATCTTATTCCTCGGTCATTCGTTGCTTCCCGGGGGCTAGCAGCAGCCTGAGGGTGTGGGGGGCTTCCTGAGGGCTGCCATGGGTCCTGGCCCCTCTTGCCCTTTCCCTACTCCTGCTGCCTGGTCATCTGAGCCAGTAAGCCCAGCCTGCTCTTTCCTTGAGCTTGGCTGTGTACTGAGGAGGGCTAGGAGAGAAGGAGGGAGCTGACCCACTGCTGGGAGGGTCCCTCTGGGCCAGCACAGCAACGTTGGAATCTTTCTCATCTCTTTCCGCTGGATGACCCTGTGCAGGGCCAGCCTCTCTTGTAAGACCAGGCCCAGGGCAGGGGGCACTCCTGACCCATCAGGCTGTGTGGGAGAGGTGGGGAAGGCAGGGGTAGAGGATCTTCCTTCCTTCTGAGGCTTGCAGTGGCCCCCAGTGTCCGCCAAGCCCTCCTCTCCCCCCGAGTGCCGTGGTGTGTGGCGGGTCTGGTGGGACCATGCTGGGTCCTAATGGGGCGGCCCCCCTGCAGCTGGCCAGTTCCCCCGGCTCAGCCTGCATTTCCACCTTCGGAGGAACCGGGGCGTCTACATCATCCAGTCCTACATGCCCTCCATCCTCCTGGTCGCCATGTCCTGGGTCTCCTTCTGGATCAGTCAGGCCGCGGTGCCCGCCAGGGTGTCTCTAGGTACGGGGCCCTGGCCTCTTCTCCAAGGGAGCTGGTGGAAGGGCAGGAGCCTGGGAACAGGACCCCGACCCCATGAGTCATGAGCCCAGGCCTTGCCCTCCAGCTCCTCAGGCCAGCTGTCCTGGGGCCATGGCCTGCCAGGCCAGGCCTGGTCAGAGGACCCTGACCTGCACCCGGGCTGGAGTGGGGTGAGGGTGGTGAGGTGGCAGGGGCTCCAGCGATGTCGCCACCATCCCATCAGGCATCACCACGGTGCTGACCATGACCACACTGATGGTCAGTGCCCGCTCCTCCCTCCCGCGGGCATCGGCCATCAAGGCGCTGGATGTGTACTTCTGGATCTGCTACGTCTTTGTGTTTGCCGCGCTGGTGGAGTACGCCTTCGCCCACTTCAGTGCCGACCACCGGAGGAAGCAAAAGGCCAAGGTCAAGGTCAAAGAGCAGAGGGCAGAGGTGAGGCTGGCAGGACCGGGTCGTTCGTGGTCAGGACCAAGGGCAGCGACCCACACCCTACACACGCCTGGCACAGGGAGGGGCAGCCACTTTTCCTGGGTCCAGCCTGGCACCCTCGGCCGACTGCCCTGGGGACGTCACTTGCAGCCTGGGCTCCAGGAGAGCAGGCCGATCCTCAGCCCCTGCCTGCTGTGGGTCAGGGCGGTGCTCGCTGAGGGACGGTGCTGCTGGCCTGGGTGGGGTCCTCGTTGTCCAGGAAGGCTGACCACTCAGCCCTGCCTCCTCCTCCTCCTCCTCCCTGGGCAGATGGACGTGAAGAATGCCATCGTGCTCTTCTCCCTCTCGGCTGCTGGCGTCACCCAGGAGCTGGCCGTGTCCCGCCGGCATTGCCGCACGGCTGGGAACCTCATGGGCTCCTACAGGTCAGTGGAGGTGGAGACCGGGGAGACCAAGAAGCACGGGGGGCCCCTCTCAGGGGGTCAGGGGAGCCTCCGTGCGCTCTTCAAGCCCATCGACGCAGACACCATCGACATCTACGCCCGTGCCGTGTTCCCTGCGGCCTTTGCTGCTGTCAACGTCATCTACTGGGCGGCATACACCATGTGAGGCCGGATGGCGGGCTGCGCTTGTCCTGTTGCCCAGAACCTCCTGGGAGCAGGGACCCTCAGATGGATCTGCCTGCTCCATGTCTCAAAGTGGGGACGACTACGGACCACATAAAACAAGAGGAAAACCTTGGCCCCCCAAAGCCTCTCGCTGTGTCCCCACCCTCCTGGACACCACCTGGGGCTCTCCCACACACCTATCCTGCAGACACCCCCGTCCAGCTCCTCCTTCCCAGCGGTAGAGCCCGCCTGACCCCGAGGCTGAGCCAGGTGGGAGCAGGGCCCTCAAGGGGCTATGCATTTGACTCAGAAATGGTCCTGCTTCTAGGACTTTGCTCTGTGGGATAGGGACCAGGGAGCAGGAGGAGGCCAGGTGTGGACGGTGCTCATTGTCTTGGTGAAATGGTGAAGAAGGACGTTCGTGGGCCTTTGGTCCCAGCATGAAATAAAACAAAGCCTTTGGCTGCCGGTTCCATTCTCTGTCGCTGCAGCTGGGCCATGGCCTCCCCTCCCCCTGCCTGGAGCTGCACCCTGGCTGCCTGGAGAGCTCTCCTCCAGCCGCAGGCACCATGGGCTTGGGACAGAGGGACTTGGAGACAGAAACTTGGGACAGAGCAGCTGAGGGGCTGCGTCCTGGAGGCTGAGCCGTGTGGCCACGTCCGGGGGCATCAGTAGGAGGGGCAGAGGTGTAGGGATCCTGGAAGGGCTTGAGGAGTCACAACCCCCTACTCCCCCCGTCTCTTGGTCCCACGGCCAGGGTGCCACTACAGTGCCTTCTTGGACGTGGTGATGGAACAACGGAGTCCACCAAGTAGCCATATACACCCAGCCCCTTCCCACCTCGGCTGCCACCACAGACGTGAGGTGAGAGGTCACAGCTTGATGACCCCTGGCAATTGGAGATCTGACAGGCAGCTCTGAATAAGGGGGTCCAGATTTTCCATGGCACCAAAGCAGAGCAGGTCATTACACTCGGAAGAAGCAGAGCTGCAATTAGAGGAGTAGCTGTGTGGGCTCTGCTCTCTGCTGAGGGTCGGGAGTCCTGATTCCCACAGGCAAGGTCGGCCAGGTCCAGTCCCCTGCTGTGGTCAGGGTGGCAGCCAGGCCATGGCCTCACTGGCTGCGTGAGGCCCCTCTCAGGGTGCCCCCACTTTAAGCCACCTTGAGGGGAGCATGACAGTGACTCTGTGTGAATCAGAAAGGGCGCCCTGCTGGGCCATCTGCCTCAACCTGTCTGGGGGTCTGCAGTGGCCCCAGGCCATGGCAGCAAGATGCTGGAGGACACTCACCCATGGGCAAGGCTTGGCTGGCAGTGACCACTGAAGTCCAGGTGTTCCAGCCCAGGAGTGCAGGGCCCAGCTGTTTCCCAAAGGACCAGGCCATGTCTGAGGTCAGAGGAGGGCGTTGGCCCCTCTGCCCAAACCATGCCCGGGGGGTCGCCTCCTCCACCTCCACCTCCACCTCTAGCTCAAAGGCTTCTCACCTCCTGAAGACCGCTCTGGCACCAGCCTGCCCCTTTGGCCCCTGCTCTAAAGGACTAGGCTGCAGGACTTGGCAGGGCCATCCCAGGGGTGGGATGGGCCCTGAAGCAGGGCTTCCAGGCTCCAGTGTGACCAGGACCTGCAAGTGGAGAGGACCTGGGAGCAAGTGGAGAGCAGGTGCCAAGGAGCCGCAGAGCCTGGATCTGGGTCAGCCGGGCTCCAGGCCACCTCTGGACAGTGCGGGTGGCAGGCTAAGCCTGGCCAGCTCTATGAATGAGGACAGTGATGCCCAGGGGCAGTGACCTCTTTCTCCCCTTCCCCATCTCGGCACCCTCTGGTCTGGGTGACCCCCTGCAGGGTCGCTGCTCACCCCCCTAGAACCCAGAGAGTTTCCCCGGGGTAGGGGTCCAAGCCCCAGATGGTGCACTGAAGCTACCAGGCTAGGCCCAAGACTGCCTGCACCACCCCGACCCCAGGAGCACTGAGGGTCCTGCCCCAAGACTCAGGCTTCTGCCTGGGCCTCCAGGGGGATGCGCGGATGGGTTCAAAGTTCACAGAGCTGCTGGGCTCATCTGGATGCAGAGGCCAGGGAACCAGCCCCCCACTGCTGCCAGGACCCTGCTGCACCCCACCCCCACCTCTCCCCGCCTTCCCTGCCACTTGCAGGCTGCCCTCCTTCTGCTGCACGTACCCACAAGGAGCTATTTAAAGCCGGCCTTTGTGACGGCCTTGGGTACCCACGCAGCGAGGCTCACCCGGGCAGAAACCTCCTCCTGATTCCACAACCAGCAATCACTCCCTCCAGCCTGCAGGCTGCTATTTCTGCCCACATATTTACAGGGCCAGGAAGAAGGGACGGGAAGGGCTGATGCTTTCTAAACCCAAGTTCTATTCTGGTGGTGATGACATGAGCAGATGGAAGGCCAGGGGCGGATCAAGGTCTGCAGCTGAGCGGAGCCGGCTTGGGAAGGGGATGTCAGCACCTGGGGCGGGTTCCATGGGCAGGGAGGGGGCCTGAGCTCTGCGTGTGCCTCATTCCAGCAGGGACAGTCTTGGGGGGCTGGTGACTTCCTCGTCCGTGGTCCCTGGTGGAGGCTGGACTGTGTGTTGCCAACGTAGACTCTTAAATGCTTCCCTGAGAGCTGGGACAGCTCTTCCCCCAGGCCAGAGGGCAGGAGGCGCAGGGGACAGCGCCTGTGGCAGGGGCAGGATGAGCACTGACCCTCCCCTCCGAGTGAGGTGGACGGCATGCACACCGAGTGGAACCCACACCTGGGGACATCGTGGGGGTTCCCTCAAAAGCAGAGCCTGAGACAAGGATTGGGTGCAGGGAGTTTATTTAGGGGGGGTATTAGTTTCCTGGGGTGGCCAGGAAATGAAGTACCACATGCTGGTCTTGAAACAACAGAAATCTATTCACTCCCAATCTGGAGGCCAGAGGTCCAAGATCCAGGAATGGGCAGGGCTGGTTCCTTCTGGCAGCTCCGAGGGAGGATTAGCCCAAGGCCTCTCCCTCAGCTCCTGGTGCTGCTGGTGACCCCTGGCATTCCTTGGCTTGTAGACACAACACCCTAATCCCTGCCTCTGCAGTCGCATGTGGTTTTTCTCTGTGTATCCTCTCCTCTTCCTCTCATCTTCTTTTTTTTTTTAAAGATTTTATTTATTTTATTTTTCCCCCCAAAGCCCCAGTGGATAGTTGTATGTCGTAGCTGCACATCCTTCTAGTTGCTGTATGCGGGACTCGGCCTCAGGGTGAACGGAGAAGTGGTGCCTCGATGCGCACCTGGGATCCGAACCCGGGCCACCAGCATCGCAGCGCGCGCACTTAACCACCAAGCCACAGGGCCGGCCCGCCTCTCATCTTCTTATCAAGGCACCTGCCATCAGATTTAGGAACTTCTAATCCAGTGTGATGTCATCTTAACTAATTACAGTTACAAAAATTACAATTACAGTTGCAAAGACCCAATTCCAAACAGGATCACATTTTGAGGTTCTGAGTGGACGTACATTTTGGGGGACACTGTTCCACCCAGTCCAGGGGGTGATGTGCAAGAAGCAGGAGCATGGGGTAGGGAGAAAAGAGGAGAGAGGGAAAGCCGACAGGGTGCTTTACTGGTCTGGGGCAACCAGACCACCACCCACTGCCTCCCACCACCTGCCACCACCCACTGCCATCTACCACCACCCGCCGCCACCCACCACCACCTGCTGCCACCCACTGCCACCTACCACCACCCACCGCCATCTACCACCACCCACCACCACCCACCACCATCCACCACCGCCCACTGCCACCCAGTTCCATCTGCTGCCAGCCACCATCATCCACTGCCACCCACTGCCATCTACTGCCACCCACTGCCATCTACCACCACCCACCACCACCCAGTTCCATCTGCTGCCAGCCACTATCATCCACTGCCACCCACTACTATCTACTGCCACCCACTGCCATCTACCACCACCCACCACCACCTGCCACCACCCATTGCCATCTGCTGCCAGCCACCATCATCCACTGCCACCCACTGCCACCTACTGCCATCCACCATCACCCACTGCCACCCACTGGCATCTACTACCACCCACCACCACCCACCACTGCCTACCCGGTGTGTTCAGGCCACACAGGTGAATTGAATGGGAACACGATGGGGCCACCACTCCTGCATTCCTTATGTCCCTGAGGGTGGCATTAATGTCTGTGATTCCATCTGGAATGAGGCACATGTCTGTATTACTCTCTGCCTGGGGAGGAGAGCAGTTTCTGATTGCCACAGTGGCTCTTTCTCCAAGGGTCAGGGAAACTATGAGGAGATTCTGGCGGTTGCCAAGTGAATCCATTCACGGTGAACGTGGGGACCAAGGAATGACTGCAAGATGAGTCCAGAAACCCACTGAATCGACCATGAGATGGATGTGGGCCAGGACTCCGTTTGTCGCTTGGCATCTGTAAGCCACCATGCTAGCTGGGGCCAGTTTCGACATTTTAGGTCCCTTGGTATCATTGTCAACTCAGACCTTGCATCCAAAAGCCCTTCAAAATTAAGTGTGTCCCTGTTCCAGAGCAGAGTCACTCTGGTGAACGGCAGTGGGGAAGGTCTGGGGGATATGTACCGTACGTGTGTATGTGGCATTGTAGGGCCTTCCTGCAAGGAGACCGAGGGGGTCTGGACTGGAGAACTGGCTCATATCTGGAAACCAGACCAGGAATCACAATTTCTACCATGGCTGTTGACATCAGCCTTTGCCCCCCAGCACCTGATGGTTCCTGGTCGGGCAAGCCAAGCAACGCCCTGCCTGCTCCTCCTCCACACCCCCAGGGGGTGCTATGACCTGTGAGCCAGAGCTGTGGATTCCCACAGTCAGGGCACCTCCGGACCCTCTTCCTGTTACCACAACTGCACCGGCCTTGCCTCTGATGGTTACCTGCAGTCACACCTCCCTATTTCAGAACCCACGGTGGCATTTCCTCCCGTCAACACTGGCCTTACAGGTCAGGCATCGCTGGGCTTCGCAGCAACGCTGGTCCCCTCTCACCAGCTCCTTCCTTGTTGCTTTACTGAAAGGCATCTTCCAGGCTCTCCTGGGGACCCAGACAGCTGGTGATTTCCATGGACTCATTCCGATAGGCACACCCTGCTGAGCCTAGGACCCCTTCCTCATACTCTCCCAAAGATGTTCCAGTGTCCCCATCTGGTGTCTATTGGCCACCATCGTGTCCCAACTTCAGAGAGCCACTCCAAGTGCATTAGGGCTGATTCCACCCTGCTAGGGCATTAACTCCTCGTCATAGGTGAGTGCTCCTGTATCAACAAACTCTCCCCCGTCTGGCCTTATATTCCACCCCCCCATCCAACATCCTCCAGACCCACTCCCACACGTGACCCCAGGGTCCCGCCAGCACAGACTAGCCAGGAGCTGCAGTTCCCTCCAGTAGCAGTGACTCTACACCCCTGCTGAGGTGCAGCTGAGGC